AATAATTCGGCGAATTATTAACGGTATCGATTTTTAACGTTAAGACCGGCGAAGACGATGCCGATATTATCAATTTCAGAATCTTCTTGAGTAATTAATGAGAATCGCTGCTAATATCAATATATTTTCAAGGAATACGAAACTTTCGACAACCGTCGACCGCGGTGAAAAGTTTCTGGTGCTCGAAAGTTTGTATTGCTCCGGTACTGATGTATCGATGGAGGCAATTAATACGAGAGCAGATCTTATAAGAAATTTAAACTCACCCCTCGTATATAACGCATATAAAAATACAATCTTCGAACGAGATTCTAATTCAGGGAGGGATGAATTTAACGTTGCTCTGTGATACTAAACTTATTTGAGGTTGCAATAAGTTGTTATGAAAATGAGGAAGCAACAAAGTAGATATACATATATACTTTTTAATAATTAATTATTATAATTATAATTGTATATAGTAATTAAAATAATAATATGTAATATTATATATTATTATAATAATATTATTATATTATATTATTATTATATTATATTATTATTACATTATATACTATTATAATATTATGTAATATTATATTATATATATTATTTCCATAATAAATAAAAAATAATGTACGCTTGTGCAATACATGGGCGACAGGAATCATTTGCTCGGACTTGAAAATGAATTTCCTCGCTAATTTAATATATTTTCCGAATTGTACTGGGATACGCGAAGCTTCAAACAGTCGATAAAGTAATCGATGTCGTGCAACGTAACCTTTGAATTTTCATTCGATTAAACAAGACACTTGAATATTCTGAAATCGCCGAGTAGTTGTTTTCGAAGCGTCGTCGCCAAAGGCTCGGGGAAGCTTAAATAAAAACGAAAGTAAAAATGTTCGGAGGAGTTGAGGGCAGACTTTCGTTGTGAGTCACACGACCCCTTTCGCGATCTACGAGAACTATGTATAGCGCGTGGCAGGAGACACTCGTGAGTCGCAACGAGGGCCGTGAACTCGAACCACCCCTGATACCCGTGGAACCCGGTCCTATCATATCCTGTTACGACGTTTCAGAGTGCACGTGCCTATTGTTGCTGGGTGCTTCACCTGGCACGTGGCAATTTTCAATACACCAGGTTCGTGCGACGTGGCCTGCTTGACTTTTTGACGTGACATTTAGCAGCGTGGCCTGTAACACCGTCCGATCTAACGTTCGACGAATATCGAATTTTCCGTCGCCGAGCACGATCGAGTTAATCGTTCGTTCGGTTCATTCGCGAGTTAAATAATCGCGAGCGACTTTACGGACACCCTGTATATTCGTTAGACAAAACCGTCGAGGAAGTTGTACATTTTTACGTATACTTTTACCGGCACGTAAGAACGATTCGAATATTTCAGTGGAGAACGATCGATTTTGTTAGCAGCTCGATAACAATAAAATATAACAATTATCACTTTTTTTTATCTGCAAGATGATTTTCTACTTAACCGCTTGCACATAATGCGCTACCTCGAGCGGGGAACGTGACCTAAGAACACAAATAAATAGCAGTGACATTGCGGAATATAGACGGTATAGTGAAATGAAAAATGCTATAATCGATAATTCTATACTTACTTGTTCTTGAAGTATAATTATAATACAGGATGCTCCAGAACAGAAGGTGTAATGAAAAGACGTCGTTCCGCAGCAGAAAACTTATGTTGGAAGTGTGCGATTCAATGCAATAATAACTGAGGACTGTCGGTAGCAATATTTTCAACTTGTTAATATATAATAATTATATACAATATAATATATATACATATATATAATAATATATAATAATTGTTTAACATAATATGTAGTTATAATTATAATATATATAATATATATTTAATATATAATATGTAATTATAGTTATAATATATATGATATATATTTAATATAATATCTAATTATAATTATAATTATATATAATATATATTTAATATAATTATATAATAATTGAAGAGAGAATGGAACAGCTACGCGGCTCCGATCTGCAGCAACGCGATGCGAAAAATAACCTCGCATAAAAATCCGCAATATATTAACATAAAATCTCGAGATGTGACGCGATCTCTTTCCGTCGAGTCCCGATTTATTATCGGTGACGGTAAACAAAGGAATTTAATCCCTCGGTGAATCATCGTTGGCGCGTCGTTCTCCTCGATTTAAATCGGAAGGAACCGTTTACTTTGTGCCGGGTCCCACGTGGGTAGCATCCAGGTAGCTTTTGATAAAATCAAGTTTGTCGATGTCAAGGATCTATGGAGGCTGGATATAAAAGCGAAGGTACAGTTTCTGGATTCGGAAGAGTGGGTCAAGTGGTATCGACTATGCAGGAGCAGAGAAGCTATAGGAAGGTTTGGTTTTCCGATTCACTTACCGGCTACAATTTTCCTCGCTCTTCTCATTCCGCGACGACATTGTCTTCCAAGATTTCCATACGTCGCCTCGCGTCTCCGTTCTCTCCGAATTACCACAGTAATGTCTCCCTTACTGACGCTCAGATTCTGTAGAAAAATGGACAATGCGGGCTGGACAGGAGATACGATTATTCCGGTTTTGCAGCATGTTTTTATAATCGTTGACAATCGGTAACTATAAGAACAAGTCGCAAGGCTCCTCTTCCAAATTATCCATTTTTGTGGACAATCTGAGCGTCAGTTAGAGAGACATTACCGTATACAGCAAATTCTCCCTAATTCTAGCCGAGATCGTGCACGAAAATGGACAATTTTGGGAGGAGTAGACACGATTGTTCGAGCCTCTTGCCTCACTTTTATAATAAAAAATATAAATGATCCGCGAGGCTCGAATAATCGCGTTCTCCTCTTCCCGAAATGTCTTTCTTCTTTTTTTACAAGCTGAAAGAGAATTAGTTGTTGCCAATGTAATTGCTATACATTTCGGCGTAATCGTCAAAAAATTGTTAAAATTATGCGACGATTTTTCACGGCCTCGGCCACAATAGACCCGCGGGTCAAGTTTAATAGTTAACAATGTTTCGTCGATTTCGTAACGCGAGTACAATTCTATGCGATAAAGCTTTACAGTTCTAAAGTGCAAAATGTACGGCGCTGTTTCAGATCTCGCGGAGAATAGGAGGCCGTGGGTGTTATGCTGATGCGACGTTGATTAGCGAACGTATTAAGGAAGACGATACGGATTAGATGTCTTTGCGCAGAGTTTGCGTCGAACCACGGTACGTGCAGTGGCGAAGCTTTTTCATTGTTCAAGCATCGATGCTTTTTCCTTTGCGCTAATATTATCGACGCTTACAAATGTCCACTGATTGCCTGTTTGCCGAGAGGAGAGAAGCAACGTTGACACTGTGAAACGGAATCCATGTATGTGCAAACTTACGCGAATCGAATGAAACATGTGAAGCGTGAGAAATGATTTTCATTTTATGATTGTGTCGGCACGCTGTGCCCCGTTCGCTGTGTGTTATTCGTATCTATTCTAAAACATCTATTCTAAATATCTGTTCTAAAATAGTCGTGCTTTTTCAAATGTTACATCCGATTTGCCATCCGCTTCGCTGCCTTCGCTACCAAAAATTACATGCGCGCGGCACTAAAATAAATCAGACATCGCCCGCAAGCTCGGAATATCGTGCACGGTAATTATTTAAAAGGGTCTTCCTCGCCGATTTCGGTGTGCTTGGAATACTTCATCGAGGCAATCTTCCCGAAGAACTTTGCTTCACGCGTATGTGGGTCGATCGGTCTTGGTTTCCCAGGGAAATTCTCTATAATTTTTCTACAGCAAACAAAATTGCACGATTCGGGAAGAGGAGGTGCGACCATAAAGATATAATAAAAATAGTACAACGAAATAAGAAGATAATATAATAATATATAGTACAAAAACAAAAGCTGAAGACGGTAGAATAAAATTATAAAAATACAATCGTATCTTCTCTTCTCCAAAATGCTCCATTTTCGTCCATTTTTCGCGCAGAGAAACAATAATGCGAATCGAAACACTACCAATACGAAGCGAATAAGCGATCAGAATTTCCAGAGAAAATATAACACATTAAGTACACGATAAAATACTGAAGAATTATAGTACATTTATGCAAAGACCATTTTTCTACGCTCTTGTTTCACGATTTTTAATTACGAAGAATAGTTGCGTTCGAAAGCTGGTCGAAGCCTTGCTCGAATCCGACCCGGAAACTCGTCGTTTCGACGATCGAGACACATTGCCAGATTCGTTACCGACTCGTTCGATCGCTATTTCGGATTAATCGGCGTACGACGCGTCCGCGAGACGAGGGCGAGACGAGGGCTATCCGCGAAATTCCCGGAAACGTCCGCTGGCAGAAACCTCCGCTCGCTCGCGACTAAACGGGCGCCGCTTGTTCGCCGCTTGGATCTCCATCGCTTCCATCGCTACTATTCATTGTACGGGTTGCCGCTACAAATAGTACTCTCCGCCTCCGATTTCCTCGGAAATAGTCGCGCGGCGTGTGCCCGAACGGCGCGGCCAAGAAAACCCGTGCGTATCGGCGCGAATCGCGCGCGAACGGAAACGAACGCGTCTCGATCGGTCGCCGCGGAACGCGTCCGATTAAAATATACCCGTGGTTTCGAGAGCAATGCTAATCCTTCTCGAAACCGTCGTTCGATCAACATGGTACCCGCGACTACACACCTTCGCTCACCTGGATTCCGGTTGATACCCAGCGAAAAGGGGGTAGCTCGCGCGGCGCCGGCGGCCGCACGAGGCGCAGGCCCGTAACCTTTCAGTCCACGCCCCCCTTCGAGCCCGTCGGGGGTTCGAAAGAACCCGGTGACGCCGGGAGGAGAAGCGGCGGTGGGCGTTTAGAAGGAGACGGCCGATCCGCGGCGGGGATCGCGCGAAGGAGACCGAAGGTAAAGTCAGAGGGTAGGACGTGCCCCCGCGGCCGGCCATGACGTCACGGGCCTCGAATCAATATCAGAGTCACCCCTCCGCCAGTCCTCGTCCGCGAGATACCGTTGGTTCAGTACGGGGTGGCCTTCAGGACCGTTGAGAACGTCAGAGCACGCCGTTCTTGACGAGGGCGACGACGACGAGGAGTACGAGAATCATCCAGGGCTGTCTCGTTGCTCGTCACCCTCGATTACGTTTCCGTTTAGTTCTCATTTTACTTTTTTTTTATATATATATCGGCAGCTTCGTTCCGCGACGGCAATCCGCACGCGCGATCTTACACGACGACTCTTACACGAGTTTCCGTTCGACGTCCAGTGAAATAAAATTACAAGTGGTCAAACGCGGGCCAACGAGAGCGCGTCTCGCCTTCGAAGTTCCGAAGAAGAATTTTCGGCCGGCCGAGAGTTTCCTCGAAGACAAGTGGGAATACGAGATGGATCTTCCTCCGCTGTTTCGAGGCGGGTGTGAGTGGTAGCACGAAGAGTCGGGATTCGGCGCGTTCGACGGAACCGTGAGTATATCCCTCCGCCTTCGTTGTTACACGAATTTTACTTGTTCATCGCGAACGATCTCTCTGTTCCTTCTTCGTGCTCGAAACGCTTCTTTGGAACTGCTCGTTCCGAATAATTGTTCGTTTCACCGTCTCGAGAACGATTTATCGATCCTCTTGTGTACGATTCTTTCATTCGTTTCGCTTCTCTGTACCAAGGTTCTCGAATTTGTTCGTCGAATTTGTTAATCGCATCGTGTTACGCTGTTTGAACGCGCGTTCCACGGTTCTATTATATTCTATCGGGAGGATTATTTGCGAGCAATTCTTTAGAGGGCAATCGTTCTTAGAGGGTTTCGTACTTTCCCGTTACATTCGATGGCTTTCGATGAATTTATTTATTCTAAACTGAAATAATGGATCGTTTTGTGACACGGTTACTTTGAATAGGTACAGTTAAATTATTCGATTAATCGAGCACGTTTAGAACGATACGTTCGTATGCCTCGAAGCGATCGAAACTGTGCTTTATTATTTGATTTTATTATTTTATCGTAGCACAACGAGGGAGCTTCGTTGTTTCTTAATATCGGCCTCTCTTGATCGATCGGACACGCATGTGCTGTTAAAAATCGTCGAATTTCGGGCGACGTCGCAAGTTGTCGGAACCATGTTCAATTAGAAAAATGCGATTGCATTGTTATTCGAAATATTTCTACGTGAAATCGTGGTGACGTCGCATTCTTACGTACTGGAAATATAAAATACGAAACGTTTGATTCTGTTCAATCTGACATGCGCAGCGCCGATGTTCCCGGAAAGGTTGTGGCCACAAAGTATGAGATAATGAAGTTTCACTGGGATAATACAATTTTAATGAAATATAGAATAATCAGCTAAGTGAAAACGAAATGTATTCGCTCGGAATCCACTGTTTTCCTATTCGATCTCCTACAGATCTTTTACTTTCAGATTGGCCGTATAAGAACCGATCAGATCTCCATTCAACAGCGACATTCGTCGTTATCGATGCACGCTTCTCCTATTAATCTTACGTATAATTATCATAGTTCTGCATAAAACTCTGACACGAATGGAAAAACATCGAATTATAGATATAGAGAAAGAAATAACAAAAAGTTTATAAATGCTTGTTTGATCTGATAAACGAAATTAGACGATGGATCTTTTTATATTTTAGATCTTAAACCTCGCTGGTCCACCTGGACATAACCTATACACGAACTAATCGTAAAATGGGCGCACGAAACTAGGTATGGACCAGACGTGAACGAAATATGAACGAAAAATGAACGAAAAGTGAAGTAGACACGAACGAAACCGGTCATGGACCGAGCTTAATGCTCATTAGACGCAAAGAGTACGGAATCTCCTCGATCGATCTTTCTTCGGTATAGTTGCGTTCGGTGAAATATGGCAAAGTACAATGCATTAACGGAGTTTCAACAATGTAATTTTCTGCGAACACGTTTAAACAGCTCGAAGAAATATTTGATTATTTTACAGAATCATTTATATACTTGCAGATCGGTGAAATGCCCAAAGTATGGCTTCACCCTTAGTTGGCATCGCTGGGACACCGATGACCCGCAACAGATTTTCTTGATTTTCCCGATCGCTGACCGATTTCCTGCTTCTCGCTTTCTTGCATTCTTTTGGCACCGGAGGCATTTACCCTGTAATAAAGTCTTCCCAATCGACGCTCGGATTGTACACAAAAATGGACAATTTGGGAGGAGCAGATACGATTGTTCGAGGCTCCGTCTCCTCTTCCCAAGTTGTCCATTTTTGTGTACAATCTGAGCGTCGATTGGGGAGAATTTACTGTAACGCGAACCTAACGTCGAATTATCAATTAAGGGTTGATATTTAGAAAGTTATACCTCTATTTATACCTCTATTATTTATTAAATTTACACCTCTATCGTATCTGCATTTTAAGGGTTAACGTTTATTAGGTTATACCAATCGTTACTATACTATTACATGATATAATTATTTCAACGATAATTCTTTTAAATTACATAAACAAGAAATGCACGGACAATGATCGTACATATATGGAAAATATATGTATTAAAGTCGTATTTACTTATTTTAATTATCTTCAACACTGGAACGACGGAACTCGGGTCCATTTGGACCCCTCGGGACAAATCTTATTCGCCAGTCTAGTTTCTGATAATTAATTTCAATTTGTTCACATATTTTATTGAGATATATATATAGAAAAGTGAATACGTTTAGAAGTACTGCGTTAAAAAATACGTTGACAAATATCGATGAATAGAATGATAAACGATTCTCAGCATACTCGGTGAGATTTTCGTCTCGTAGGTCCGCCGTTCGAGTTTTAATATTTCAATTTACAGACGATTCTTTGGTCGACGGGTGATGTCGTATGCAATTTTATTTACTGATTCTGATTATGTAAACAGGATGCAGGGAATGCGATGAAATACAATGGAGGGGGACTATTAGGCGAAGAAAGTGTTCGCGCGTTTTACGAGCCTGTTAATAGCCTCGATAATTACAGAAGTTACGTAGTACATACGCTGTCGCATCTTTCCAACACGAAGCACAAGCTTTTAATGCTTAAGCTCTTGCTGCTTAATGCTGCAAAATTTGCTGCATTTTCTTGCAATTTGCTGCAGAACTTAATACTGCTAATGCGCAAGCTTTTAAATAAATTTAATTTAATCAATTGTAACTGGCGATACGAAAAATTACTCGAACAATATCGTAAAAAGAAATCCTCGGAACGAGGACAGATTTCGAGTCGCATTGTTATCTCGATTCGCTGGATCGACACCGATTTCTGCGAGCGATCCGTTCGAAACCGAACCGAAGGCTCGCGGCGGTTCCACGGTTTAATGAACTATCATTTTATGATCTGTTCCCGCACGTGCAAAGTGAAATCGTGACTTTGGCTCGATCGACTCTATACACCGGTTCGTTTACGCGGATCGATTTCTTCAATTATCGAGTCTATAAATGGTGTTAAGTAAGGCCACCGGTAACTCATAGTTTATCGCGCGTATTTGTTAACGGAGTCTATATACAGAGACCGATGATTTCGCATGTTTAAACTTAATAACGTTTTACCCCCCTCTCCCGCTCACCTTTTTTTTTTCTTAACCAGTCATCGAACGCAGATGCGTCCGAGGCGGCTTGTACAGCAGATGAAAGTCGCCCGACGATGATCCAGGACGAAATAGCGTTTTTTCTTCTCGCTGTTCTCACTCCTGTGCCACGATCTTTCCCTACCTTCCTTCCTTCCTTTCTAGTTGCCGTAAAAATTACGAATACACTTTCTACATGGATATCGGAGGTTTAAGGCCGCGCGAAGGTCGGCGTGTTATAGGCTTGCAATTCATCACTGTGTCTTAGCCGTGTTCAATTAGAAGCAGGAAGCGAACGATTACTTGGGCATCCAGAAATGTAAACAAATGTTTCATTTGAGAATAGAAAGAGAAACACGAAGACGAAGAGATCGTGCCAATCGTAAAAGCTCCATTGTCTAATTTTGTTCGCGTTTTATTAGCGTGGACGAGTGTCTGTAAACTTTTTTATTATTTCTTTCATATAATTCGATTTTTTTGTGGAAGTTTTATGCAGAACTATGATAAGTGTTTGAAAGATTAATACGAGATATGCGTCGATAATTATTTCACTGACGAATGGAGATCTGAAAGTAAAAGAAATGTAGATTTTTATATATTGTTCTATATAATATAGATAGCTATAGGTATACTGCTCTATTTTGATCAAAAGATCAAATTTTGAGACCGATTCTACAAGCCATATAAATTAATAGATTTACCTATATAATAAAAGTTGGTTATTAGCAATATTTGTGAACGTTAATGTTGTTAAAAATTGGCTCAAACGTATGGCCTTAATTTCATAATAACTTAATATAAATTACAAGATGATAGATAGTAATTCTTCGCATAGCATTAAAAGTCAAAATGATTAAACTCTAATACTCCGAAACGAATGTTTCATGTAAAAATTGTATATCTGATGATGCATGGCTCGAACAAGAATTCATTATGGTCTCGTTCGGGGCAGGAATTTCAAGGGGACCCTATGCTTCGACCACTCGGAGATTTTAACGCCGGATAGCGTTGAAATCTCTCGCTTTCCGCTAATTTCTCTGCCTAATGAGCTAGATCACTATAAGTCGCAACACGTTTTTAATGTTTCAGGGATATTAATAATTACATACGATTACACATAATTATAAATTGCTTCTGGTACAGGTGGTTCGCCTTTAAAAAGCCACAAGTTTGTACAAAAAATAATAACTCGAATGAAAAAACAAATCGTGAACGAATAGGCGAGACGAATTAAGAATGTTGCACGGACAATGGCAACACCTATACACGACCAGTTATTAGATACGTGACACGTTAGTTTTCAAGGTAAAGAATTCCTCGCGGAAACTTTGTAATTGCATAAACTCGACTGTCTTATATACGGTAATTGTAATAGACTCTAAGTATTGCTTAGGTACACAGTGCTGGATGAAATCTATGTATACTGACTTCCACGATAAGTAGCGTTGTCTGATATGGATCGCCTTAGGTTGAGATGTCAACATGATACGCGTTTGGATAGTTGCAGATTCGAGTATCAATGATTCGGATAATCGAGGCTCTACTGCAACGCCATCGAAATAAAATACAAAAGTAGAATGTCGATTGTCTAACATATAATAATAATATATAATAATAATATAATATATAATAATATATATATAATAATAATAAATAATAGTAATCATTATTATATAATAATAATAATGATGATGATGATAATAATAATTATTATTATTATAAAGAAGTGTTTTTTTTTTCAATCGTTTGGAAATAATAATAATTAATAAATTAATCATTATTATTATTGAATCTACTATATTTATTGCAAGCAGAAGCAAATGATGAATGCCGTACACTTTGAACACTAACAAAATACTCTTTATTAACTATTAGCTTAACAACTATAGCTCCATGAGTAACTATAAGTGTTTTTCTACAAAAATACATATAAAATAATAATTCTTTCTGTAAAGTTCTTTCGCTTCGGCAACACACATACACACACACACACACACACACACATACAAAGATTATTTATTCCAATAGAACGGAATCGATGATCTAAATAACGGTGAATCTTGGTTACGCGTGTTACAGGTGAACAATCGTACCGATCGATATCGATTGGTAAAGAAGCGGCGCGATCGAAGGTGACAATCAAGGAGGAAGGACAGGGTAGAAGAAGCAGCCTCAGTGAGTCCTGTAAAAATCGATGGCCATCAGCGCCCATGGGCGGCCTCGCGTTTAGAACAAGGAATAGCCCCTCCCAGAAGACCTCGCTCCGGTGGGGCGACTGCTGCCCCCCAAATCCCAACCCTCCGTCGTCGTCGGCTGTCTGGAAGGGCCATCATCAGGACATGCTGCCGGTACCAGTGTGAGGCTGTCCCCCGCTACTGCGTGATTGTACCCCGCGGGGTCTTCAGAGGTAACAGAAATCCCTTCTTTTCAAAGGGCAACGGAGAAATTGGCACCTTTATTGTAGAGATGCGACTATCGATCGGCGATGTCGCATCGATTTCTCGTCGACGCTCGACCACGTGCTACAAATACAGGGTGTCCCAGAATTATTGTACGAGCGAGAAGCGAGGGGTTCCTCAGGTCATTTGAAGCAACTTTTTCCTCAGCGAAAATGCGATCCGTGGCTTCGTTTGCGAGTTATTAACGAAAAACGGCGACCAATGAGAGTCGAGATCGGTCGCCGCGAGGCGGTCCAGTCAACGAGCGCGCGAAGCCCGGTTCCGCTGATTGGTTCGGTCGCCTCGCGTGCCAGTCGAGCTCGCATCTCATTGGTCAGCGTTTTTCGTTAATAACTCGCAAACGAAGCCGCGGATTGCATTTTCGCCAAGGAAAAAATTGCTTGAAATCACCTCGGGAATCCCTCGTTTCTTGATCGCGGATGATTTTCGGGACACCCTGTACTAACTTTTAAATTTTAAATTCGCGATTATAGCACACAGAACGCTTCTAATGAATAGAAAACTCTCGTTCCCATTACTTCGACGTTGGTTAACAAACAATTCGGTACTCAAGAATGAAATTTTCATTGTATGCTAACGATAGAAATCTGACGGTTCGTCAACGGGAGACTAAAAGATATATAATTCGTTTCTCATAGTTTACATTTTGCAGATCAACTCGTATAACTTTCGTGTTTCACATTATTAGCGCGATTCGATCTAATGCTTTCGGAAAGCATAATTGCTCGTAGATGCTCGTAAGTTGGCGTTTTATACATACATCTATGTGTAGCTGGCGTCGTTAATTCATTTATGTATCACCGTTAACGATTGTACGATAATTGTGTATCGTACCGGAGAATTCAGCCTCTGCAATTTCATCGAATCTCCGTTCTCGGTTATTAATTCTTAATTATTAACCGTTGCTTCGGAATATAGAAGCGGAACCACTGGAACGTGGCCAGCTTAGATTATTCTATTGTCAGCGAGCCGATCGAAATTTTATCATCGCGTACAACGTCGTTCAACGAGAAGTTTCAAGATAATTAAAATAGCACGTTTGTGAAATATTCGCTAGAAAATTATTATTGAAAAATAAAGTATATAGGTTTATCTACGAAAGACCGAAGGTGACTTTGAAAAGTTTCCTTCCATCGATATTATACCGAACAAAAACAATTTCGATCGGCTATTAATAATTAAAACAGCCTAAGCTGTTTACATTTTGTGGTAACATTCTATGTAAATAGATCGAACTTGCAATTTTCAACCCCTTGCCGTACCATTTTCTTCATAGTTTCAATAATTAGCAGTTTCTCGCGATTGCAATAATTGCTAAGAAGAAAAAAGACCATTTATATTCATCGCGTGTCTAATATTTACCGAAATGTTTAAATATCGATGACGAGAAACCGGACTTTCATTCAGGCTAGAAAGAACGGAACGGCATTCGTGCTTAACAGGTTATTACTGAAATTCTCCGTCGCGTGTCACATTCGTCGGAGTTATGGCAAGGGGGTACGTAGTATGGCAATTATCAATGGCATCGAAATACCATAATATAATTTTTATCATTTCCTTTTATACCGTTCGTTGGCCTAAACGGGTCCGATAGAAAGACCTTGAATGCTCGGTTGTTCTATTTACACGCGTTGTACTAGTTTTTCTGCGTTGGTATGCGTCCCTTGTGCAAGGGCTGGTACTTCATGGGGCGAAGCGGGACTAATGGGATTAGAGGGTAAACTCAACCGGGCGATTTAAATGCTTCTAGGCAGGAACATCGAATTTACAGTTAATTGCGCGCGTTAGGTACGAGCGTGTCGACCGCACTGTTAATAAGGTAGAAAAGCATGATGTAATTTATAGGTGGTAGATCTCCTAGACAGAAAAGAGACAGATCTCCTGGACAGATCTCCTAGGACTAGTTTTCGAAATTTATTAGAAACAATTTATTAGATCGTTGTTACAATATATTCTGTTAATGCTAAAAATCCTCGACGGTAAGAACTGTGCCAGAGGGTCGCGAATGCCACGAATCCTCTGATTACATAACGCTCTATCTTGGTTTTCACCCCCTTCGACCTCTTGCCGTACGATTTTCTTCGTAGCCGCAACGATCGGAAGCTTTTCGATTGTAATAATTTGAACGTATTAAATATCGACGACAAGAGAACAGAATTTTATTTCGACTTAAAAGAACCGAAATAATGTAAAGTACTGAAAAAATAAAATATCACTTGTATTTAACAGGCTCTTTGTAGAAAATCTCGCGTGTCAGACTCGTCGAAGCGCGGCAAGGGGTTGAAAGCGTTCCTCTCTCGATCCCCATTGACGATGGAACCTTTCGCGCGTGCTTTCAGGTATCCGAACCTTTCGAAATCAGATCGGTCGCCAAACCTTCGTCAGTTCGAGTTCACGCAAGTGGACCCGTACTCACCGAAGATGATAAATTTCGCCGGTGTTATCTCGATCGCTCTGTTCTACGCGCTGATCCTGGGCGTAGGAATATGGGCGGCCAGGAAGAAAGAGGCTGGGAACGACTCCGAGGAGGAAGTCATGCTAGCGGGTCGCTCGATTGGATTGTTCGTCGGGATATTTACAATGACGGCAACGTGGGTCGGCGGCGGTTACATTAACGGTACCGCCGAAGCGATCTACACAAGAGGTCTTGTTTGGTGCCAGGCTCCGTTCGGATACGCCCTCAGTCTCGTTTTTGGTGAGTTCCGCTGACAAAGTTCGATTCGAAATTGTTAAAAGAATGTCATCGATTATGGGACACCGTCGCGTCTTTCGCGTGCTATATTTTTAAATATTTTACTTGAAAAGTCAATACGAAAATATAGTTATTGCAGTAATGTCTCCCTAATTAATGCTCAGATTGTGCAGAAAACTAGACAATTTGGGAAGAGGAGACACGATTATTCGAGCCTTGGCAACGTGATTTCGATTCGAAGGCAATTCTAAGGCCACGTGATTTCGACAATATTGAAATGGATAATTTTGAAAGAGGTGATACGATTATTCGAGCCTTGCAGCTCGTTTTTATAGTTGTTGACAATTCGTAATTACGAAAACGAACCGCAAGGCTCGAATAATCATATCTTCTCTTTCAAAATTATCCATTTTTGTGGACAATCTGAGCGTCAATTAGGGAGACATTACTGTATTTCGATTTGGTGCACAGCGGCGACATACAAATATATTCATAGTTTCATAGTTTCATATATATCGATATAGATTTAAATATAATATAGTTTCAAATTAAATAAAAAAATATAATATAATATAGCTTTAAATTATAAAAATAAGAAAAATATAATATAATAATATAGTTTTAGATTGAGAATCTACGTACACGGAAGAATTGTACGCTGTCACAATGTAACAGAGATCACAGGGTATACGTATACGCGTTGTATCGCAGCCTATAATATTCATGCGGTAAACTAGTTAGGATCAATACTCTAACATGGAATAACTTTTTAGCTGTGTCGCCTTGAGCGAGAATAAACGAGTGTACAACTTTTCATTGAAACTACAGAGCGTGTAGTTTCTGAATGATCGTCGTAATAACAAATCGCCACGTGTTCTGCATTCCGTAAACCGGATAAGAAATCGTATAGACGAAGATTGTCCGATCTCGATATCGTTTTACTTTTTATTCCAATGCACGATTTCGTTCCACGTTACGCATTGTAAACGATATCAGCAATTGTACTAACTGTTGTGTTAGTAAGAAGCAATTTCGATTTTTCTACCTAGTTTAAAAACGGACGTAATTTCGTTCGTACTCCCTTCAACCACCCTCTTTTTCAACCACCTTCGCGCTCGTATTTTTCCACATTTTTTTAACTTCCTCTCCATCTCCCTAATTGTTTCCAAACCATTCCGTTCCATTCTCTCGGGCTTTACACCGCTTCTATTTTTTTTCTTCGCCTCTCCCATCTTTTCATCCCTTAATTCTGTCTTTCTATTTGCAATCCTCTCCGCCGTCCTTTTCACTTCTACATTCACAATCTCATCCCCCTTTGTGCACCGTCGCATCGTCCACGGTATTTCATACATAATTTCTTTCAATATCATCGTCAGCTCTGTCTTCATCCGGCGACCTTTTTATCTCCATCTTTCCCGTTTATTATTCCGTTTCTGCCGTGCTTTCATCCCTGCCTCCATCTCTTCTGCTTTTCTTCCGGTCGAAGAATTTCTGTTCTTTCGTGTAATTTTTCATCCAGGAAAGAAACACGATTTTCTGCAGCTAATTGCAGCAATGCATAGAAATAACTCGGTTTTATACGGATGTCCTTCAAAAGTTTTCGCGACACAGTCATTTCTCCCAGCTGATCTGAGAATACTAAGTTGCTGGAATAGAAACGATGACTTAACTTTTTTATTTCTGACTTTTTGCCACGATTCGAAGGCAATTCGGGGACCGCGTGACACGATTCGAAGGCAATTCGGAGGCCACGTGACACGATTCTAAGGCAATTCGCGGTTTTTCTTGACTCCGTCAAACCCTTAGCATCGACGTAGCAATAAATTACACAGGCGTAGGATTGGTACAAAAAAATTCACAGCAACCCGAAATTTGTCATTCTGCGGACAATTTCCGTGAGAAAATTAACCCTTGAGCGTCAGGGTGAACGGTCTAATCGTTATCGTGTACTCTTTGCGTTTGTTCCAGGTGGCATATTTTTTGCGAACAAAATGCGAGAACAGGGGTATATCACGATGTTGGATCCTCTCCAGGATGCGTTCGGCGAACGTATGGGGGGTCTTCTCTTTCTTCCTGCTCTCTGCGGCGAAGTGTTCTGGGCCGCGGGTATTTTGGCAGCTCTAGGCGCTACAATAGCGGTCATCGTCGACATGGAACAGGGCGCCTCGGTCATTTTGAGCGCCTGTATCGCAGTTTTGTACACTCTCTTCGGAGGTCTTTATTCTGTTGCTTATACTGACGTTATTCAACTCTTTTGCATCTTCATTGGACTGGTGAGTCGCCGATTTTCTATTATACCGTACCGTTCGCGTTGTATTAATGTATTAACCCTTTGCACTCGAGTGGTGACTCAGAGGCACCGTTAAAATTTGTCATATCTCGTTTTTAAGATAATTTTTATATTAACAAATTTCGAATTAAAAGAAATTGTTAAGAGTGTAACGGTTGTGCGAGTCCCAAAAGTCGATTTCATATGCATAAAATGCATTTCGACATATAAGATAGAAATACTATGAGTTAGAAAAATAATTTTATATTTACAGTTAAGATAGCTTCGAGTGCAAAGGGTTAATTAAGGGTGTCTTTAATAAATCGAATAATCTTTTATCAATTCAGGCTCGTCTTAGTTAGTCTTAGTTAATTTTAACGGGTCGGATATTACGTTGGACGAACGAATAAATAAATTGTACGATTGTTTAATAAAGAAAACGAAGATAATAGTCTTCGATTTATTTGATAGAAGAAGAACATAATAACTCGATCTTTTTTTATTTCTTTTTTTTTTTGAATATTTCACTTGTCACCCGATAATATTGAAAATGTCAGCAGGATAGTAACATCGTTTCGTTAAAAAAGAAAAAAGAAAAACACAGTGTCACGGTCCTGTTACAGTGGATGTGCATTCCATTCGCGTGGGCGAATCCATTGGTAGCGCCTCTTAGTTCTATGGAAGTGGATTGGATCGGCGAGGTAGACCCGAGTCTCCATTGGTCATACCTGGATAACGGTTTGTTGTTGGTGTTCGGCGGAATTCCGTGGCAGGTATATTTTCAACGGGTCCTGTCATCGAAAACAGCGGGCAGAGCACAATTGTTGAGCTACGTGGCCGCCGCAGGTTGCATCCTCATGGCCATTCCGCCTGTGCTGATAGGAGCCATTGCCAAAGCGACCCGTGAGTCAAATCCACCGTTCGTCACTAAATTAATTCAATATTCCTTGTGACAAAATATTAATTACTAAATTTATTAAATACTGTTTAATACTATAATTATATCAATATATTATATTATATTAATAGTTATAATATATTGTGTTAGTAAATATAATATATTATATTAATAGTTTTAATATATTGTGTTAATAAATATAATATATTATATTAATAGTTATAATATATTGTGTTAATAGATATAGTATATTATATTAATAAACATAATACATTGTATAATAATTACAATATATTAATACAATATATTAATAATAATCACAAAAAAATGACCAAATCCGGGCAAATAATTTCGCCACACACGTGCGAATGGCGCGACAGTCGACGCGCCAACGTGGCCAAAATGAGCGAACAATCGACGATCATCGGCGAGTCAATAAACGCAGAAAATCGAGTAGAATTTGCAAGAAAAATAAACGGCGATCGATATTATTAACGTGGACGAAACTGGGCGTCAGTTTTCTTGCTCGAGGGGGTGAACCTAAAATACCCATGTTTCATGGGTACCTGAAGCTAAAAGGGATCGAATTAGACCCGGTTTGCTCTTGAACCCCCTCCGTTTCCCATTCGAAGGCTACTTGACATTTGCTGCTATTGCAGACAGAGAGAGAAAGAGAGAGAGAGAGGAGAGAGAGAGAGAGAGAGAGAGAGAGAGAGAGAGAGAACTGCTGGTATTTACAAGGTTCCAGGGCTAAGCGGGTCGGTGTTGTAACGGAAGGGTGTATAGACGAAGGGTGCTTTGATATCCCACAGCGTGTACAATAGCGTGGGATTTTGCCATATGGTGTTCTAGGCGCGAGGGTGAGGGTGATAATGCGACTCGTCCACTAACACGCGGTACAGTAGAATCACCGGAACTAATATGATATCATGTATCATTGTCTTCTGTACTTTCAGTATTTTTTTGTTCTTCTCTCGGACAGGGAGATATGATTCTTCTTTCGTCGTGCCGGATGATTCATCGGAATGCGGACGGATTTTTCGTGCGTTGTAATTCACGCCTACGTTTGCTTCGACGCTTAGATTAATAAAAATAAAGACAAGAGAAACAGAATTTGATTTCGGCTTGAAAAGAAGTTCGTTCTTGTTGAACAAAAATTTTATTTGCTTTCATCGGCTTGGAAAAAGAAAAGAAAAAGAAACGGAATAACATTTTCGTACTGAAACAAGACGTTATTAATTAGAAATCACTGTCGCGTGTCAGACTCGTCGAGGTAGGGGTGTTAATAAGGGGTTAATAACGTTGCGAGACACGAAATTCTGTTGCAGCTTGGAACGAGACGGGCTACACCGGTCCGTATCCGCTCACCGAGAGGGAAACAACCATGATCCTACCGTTGGTCTTGCAATACTTGACTCCAGACTTCGTTTCGTTTTTCGGATTAGGCGCAGTATCGGCAGCAGTAATGTCTTCGGCAGACAGTAGCATCCTCTCGGCTAGCTCCATGTTCGCCAGAAACGTGTATAAATTAATCTTCCGTCAGAGGGTAAGTTCGCCTTCGTCGATCGGCCTCTAAAATGGCATCATCATCATCATCGTCATGATCACCACCATCACAATTACCATCGTCACCGTCCTCCATCTGGTCATGTTCATCGTAATCATCAAACGAAACGTAAGACACGCAAGCCTGAACACATCGTTTTCACGCTGCTTCGAACGAAATGCAAATGAGATCGCGTCGATGATATTTTTGTAAACGGAGTTTTTGTTGCATTGTCGCATCGTCGCGACTCTTATAGCTTCGTTGCGACTTCGACTAGAGTTATCTCCATTCCGATTAATTCTATCATCGTTCTTTTCGTAGCTACAAAATTGGCACGGCGCAAACAGAAAAATTGGTACGTTTCTATCCAGTGTCTTACAGCATTGTCGCGAGGTACGGCAATGTCTCTCCAATTGACGCTCAGATTGTCCACAGAAAATGGACAATTTGTGGAGAGGAGATACGATTATTCGAGCCTTCCAGCTCGTTTTCATAATTGTTGAAAATCGGTAACTCGCAAGGCTCCTGTTCCCAAATTATCCATTTTTGTGGACAATTTGGGAATATGAGATGCGATTATTTGAGCCTTGCACCTCGGTTTTAGAATTGTTGAAAATCGGTAACTCGCAAGGCTCGAATTCGCAAGGCTCCTGTTCCCAAATTGTCCACAGAAAATGACAATTTGGGAACAGGAGACGCGATTATTTGAGCCTTGCACCTCGTTTTTATAATTGTTGGACAATCGGCAACTGTATAAATATGCCTCAAGACTCGAAAAATCGTGTCTCCTCTTCCCAAATCTCCTCTTCCCCGAGCGTCGATTAGGGAGACATCGCTGTATAAATATTTCGTTCCACCTCGGCGCACGAATTCTCTCGAAATCGTCTCTCGCGTTCGCCGCAAAAAAAGAAACAAAAAACAAAAAAGAGAACAACAATCGCTAAAACATCTTCCCTCGACATCACATTGCATCCCATTTCACGTGCCGCGGCGGTCTCGCTTCTCCATTCCTCTCTACAACCGTTTTCCCGAACAGGCGTCGGAAATGGAGATCATCTGGGTGATGCGCGTCGGCATAGGCGTAGTCGGTGTCCTGAGCACGGTGATGGCGTTAACGATACCCTCGATCTACGGCCTCTGGTCAATGTGCTCGGACCTGGTCTACGTGATCCTCTTCCCCCAACTGTTGATGGTGGTCCATTTTAAAGACTACTGTAACACGTACGGCAGCCTGTCTGCCTACTTAATAGCCTTCTTAGTGAGAATCAGCGGAGGCGAGCCGTTGATGGGTCTACCCGCGCTGATCCATTATCCGGGCTACGACGAGGAGACGGACACGCAGTTGTTCCCCTTCAGAACGATGGCGATGATATTGTCTCTGGTGACTCTGATCGGTGTCTCGTACGGCACGCAGGTGGCCTTCATGACCGGCAGACTGGCGCCCGGTTACGACGTCTTCAGGTGCGTCGTTAATATACCCGAGGACGTCGAGAGGGTCGGCCCGGACCCGGCCGAGGGCGAGCAGATGTCTGTCCTGGCTGCCGGTATCGGCAGGCTCTACGGTAGCAAGGATGAATCGAACGGACGAGTGAATCCAGCGCTCGAGCCGGACTACGACATGGAACCGGGATACAAGGTCGCAGGGATGACGGACGGCATCGTTGGCGGCGGCGGTGGCGGAGGACACCTAGCCCCTCACGGAGCCAACCCGCCTAGGCAGCCGCAATCTAGTACCGCGTTCTAATCCCTGGTTCCGTGATCGGATGCTGTGACCAACAATAAGCGCGGCGGTGCGGGCTCGCGTCTTTTGTTCGAGTATCAAGGTTTCCGTTGGTGAGTCGTTCTTTCCTTCTTTCCCCGTTCGGTTCGCTATCTTTCACCGAGACCCCACGCCCACGCCCCTCCCCCCCTCTCTCTCTCTCTCTCTCTCACTCTCCCCGTTCGCTTTCGTTCGCAATGTTCGCCGCCCGAAACAACGATTTTAGAGGACATCGTCGATGTCGCTCGGATTATCGACGGGTTTCTTCGCGAGACAGGAACAGCCGTTCTGCTAGGATGAACACCGGTTGTTTTATTCGGTTGCACAGATACCAGGATTTCCGAAAATTATGATGCTTCTGGGAAACGAAGGGTTCCTCGGGTCATTCGGAGCAACTTTTTCCTCGAAGAAAATGCAATCCGCCGCTTCGTTTGCGAGTTATCGACGGAAAATCACTGGCCAATCAGAGGGGGAGCCGGGTTCGCGCGAAGGCGGCCGAGTCATCGATTCGTTGATCGGGATATACAAGGATGATATAAGCAGTACAGCGATGTCTCTCTAACTGACGCTCGGATTCTGCAGAAAAATTGACAATTTGGGAAGAGGAGATACGATTATTCGAGCCTTGCGGCTTGTTTTAACCCTTTGCACTCGAGATTATTTCAACCCCAAAATGATGATATTTGTATTTCCATATCGTATGATCGTTTTTATTGGATGCATTGGAAATTGAACTTGTTGGCTTCCTGTTTTTTTTTTAATTTATGGAATACAAACTTGAATAATGAGAAAATTCTCTTCAAATATCGTATAACAATTTTTAACGTCGCCTCAGGGTCGCCGATCGAGTGCAAAGGATTAATAGTTGTTGACGATTCGTGACTATAAAAATGAACCGCAAGGATCGAATAATCGTATCTCCTCTTCCTAAATTGTACATTTTTGTGGACAATCTGAGCGTCAATTGGAGAGACATTACTGTTACCGCGTTCCGAAATCGTTCGGATTTAGCACCGATCCGATTTATACTCGAACGTAATATTGATACATAATTGACACCGATAATTAATATCGATACATGATAACGTAATTTTGATACATTGCCGACATTCGAACCGAAAGGAAATCCGATCGAGAGTTTAACCTCGCGTCTTACGAAACTATTGCTACGGATTTCACTTTTAAAAGTCACAATTCGATCCGATCCAAACGTGACATCTGCCATAAACCTAATTCGAAGTTAGTTTAGACCTAGCGTCGCCTGTACCACGACCCACGACAGATGTTCGATGGTAATCAAATTAATCGAAGTCTGACCGGTCGCATCGAGAGAGCTTTTCGATAATCCGGTAGCACGTCGAGTTGTTTCGCATCGTTCGATTGTTGCTTGTCTTTTTTCCTTATCATGTTTTTTTCCTTATTATGTTCTTTTCCTTGTCACGTCTTTCTTCTTATCACGTTCTTTATTTTTCTTTTTTTTACTACTACGTTTCCAATTATGCCCGATTTGAGAGGAATGGTTTAACGATTTTCCGTTCGCCTCCCCCCCGGTTACCCCCCTCCCCCCCGAACCGTTTATTTCTTCTCACCTGTGTCCGCAGAGCTCCGACCCGATTCGATCTCTCGAGTTCCCATCACCACGAATCTTTCTCGTTGTCGCGTTTACACGCTAACCGTGACTAGAATAGCGATCTGTACCTGTCCGACTTAGTTGGTTCGTTCGTGCTCATAAATTGTTAATTACGAAAGAGGGATCCGATGAAGAACGGAGGCGAACGAGAACGAATGAACTCACTCAAGGAGCCGAGAGGCAAGCGACGCGATTGATCGAAGCTTTGCAGACTGTCCCGGTGAACCAGAGTCCCTCCCTCCCCTTCACCCCCCGCCTGCACCGCCAATTAGGCCTAGTAATTTCCTTTTTGAGAAATATATATATATATATACATATATATATAAAATAATTATATTTATATATAATTATATATCTGTTCGTACATACATATATATATATAATTATATATGACTATATATTGCATATATTTAGAGTTTATCGAACTGCTTGTGAGGAGTATCGTCTTGCACGACCAATCCGTTCAGAGATACAGGGGATATCCGATGATCGATAAACGATCGATCGTGTTTCGCCCAGCTTCTAATTTCTGATCTCGTTGACAACGAGCCCCCCCACCCCCCTCGGATTATAATCTCGTTGGAAATTAGAAGTTCATTCGGGACGAGCGGCTGCCAAGATGGAATCATTAGGGAAATGTACAAAGAACCTCGGCGGCTCGCGTCATCGCTGGCCGCGATTCCCCGCGGCGAAGCGGATGATAATTAATTTACTTATCGAACCGGGTCCCCTAATTTTACGGCGGGGATCGGTTCGATGGAATAGCGGCTCGAACGCGATGCCGCGAGCCGACGGCGAGGTTTTTGCGTGTATGTGTGCGCGAAGTTACTAGAACGCGACGAATTAGGATATCACGTTATCGTTTGTTAGTCTTCTTCCACGTTCCTCGCCACTCACAAGACAATTATTATTGCTAGGGGACAAAAAATGATACGGAAAAGAGAGAAGAAAATGTGCAAAAAAAAGAAAAACGAAAAAAAAAATAAGAATACAGAGTAAGTCAAAGAAGCTTTTGTACTCGATTGTTCTTCCCTTGCTTAGATCGAGCTGGGTATGTAGACGATACCTAGATATGTTTTTACTATGGAAACGAGGAGACGGTAGACGTTACTGACTAGCCCCGTTTCGCAGTCGCTCGTTATAGGACACGCTCAGGACTTTCTCGATTCGCACACGAAAGCTCCAAAGTACGATTGTCTCGAAGCCGGCACGCTGAGAATATTGCGAGAGAGCGGTGGAAGGCTCGAACATTCGAGATGCCTTTTTTTTTGTTGTTCATAACTCGGTGTACCGTTGTTCTTCGGCTTCCGTTCGACCATCTTCAAATTTCTTAACAGCTCGAACAAGTCCAATATATTTTTTTCATTTTTTAAAAATACTTCTCGATAGTTTAAACGTTAGATTACGCGGACGAGTATTCGAATCGAACGATGTCTGCTTCGAAAAGCGGGCATTCCGAGCGTAGACCGTCGCCTCTTCGTTGTACAGTCCTCGCGCGACAAGAAGGCACCTTTGAGTTCGCGTTCCCCCTCTTGCCGGCGCAGCCGTCGGTCGCTATTGGCCGCCGGCGATCTTCGTCGCCGCCTTCGGCCAATAGCGACCGTCCGCTGCGACAGCAAGTGGGGAAGCTGGTAAGTGGGGGAATGCGAACGCAAAGCTGCCTTCTTCTTGCGCGCGGACTATAGCTGCAGCGAGTGTAATCGAGAAATGGCGGCGCGCCGGTGCACCGGAGCGGTTTGTTTTATTCCTTGTGAAACCATCAAGGTTTTCTCTGTCGTTGCTTCTTCGATATTGTAGTAGCATTCGCGTGATTCGGCCGAGGAAAGTGTCGAACGAACGATCGAACATTTTGTACCACGAACATCTGAATTACGCGGAGGTTGAAAAGCAATTTCAGCACTTCGGTTTCGCAAATTTATTTTTCTACGAAAAGTTCAGCTGTCGTTCTTCGGCCCGTTGACTTTCTCGTGTGCGATTCTTGAGTCATTCAAATATTACGTACGGGAACTAACAAGAAACATCGGCGAACTTTAGCGCGTTGCTTTTGATGATATTTGTTATTAAGGTAGAACATTTTTTATAGGTGTGCCGTATCGTTTAACGATCGAACGGTTGTTATCTGCGACGCGAAACCTTTCGTTTACAGCGGTATAAAACCAGGCGATCGTTTTCTCGCGATCGACAAGCAACGGTATACCGCAAAATCGAACTGATAAACATGTGCATTAATCGACTGGTCAGAGTTTAAGAGTCCTTTAATCGACGCGGAAAGATATTTCAGGCGAAAGTTCAACGGTTTCGAGCCCACCCGCGACCCAGATTCGATTCGTAGAGCTTTTCTTTCAAGGTGCACGCGAAGAAGGCTCGACGAAGAACCGGTTTGTTTTTATTAAATGGGATACAAACGAAAGCGTTCTATTATTTTCCACACCGAGGAGGTATAAAATTGGCAAAACACTGATTTAATTCAGAGATATTTCAATCTTAATATCGTATTCATGTTCGACTATTTTCCATCGTCGATTCTAGAATTCATAAAATTAATACGTTCCCAGAAAACAATTTGTATTCAACTTAAGCAGGTTTGTTACTCTTTTAAAGACAATAAGAACGCCGTATCGATTAATGTGTATTGAAAACTACGCGATGCACATAGTTCAGTTTTCTGTGCATCGACCTACACGAAAGATGCGATTAATTAAAATTAATTTTTACAAATATTAATTAAAATTGAACCGTAAATCTCCCCGACGACCGTCCGTTTTTTGTCTGAAATATCTTTCATTCACGAACGCTACTGAACAAGTTCGCGGAAATTGGTTGAAATCGGACATCCAATCAAGCGAAGGCTGCACCTGGTTCATTAGTGTACGCGCGTACACGTGTACGTATCGCCGGAACGTTCATCGATTAATTAAAATAATAATTTCCGTTGTCCGCATTCTGTTTTAATTGCATCGGATCGAAACGATCTTAAACGCGCGTACCGACGCGAATTCGAATAGCTCCCGATCGATTTTTTAGTTCGCTCGAAGGGTTTTTATATACATTCTTTCGTGAAATTAGAAAATTTAATATCTTTTCTCCGTTCTGTTCAAATAAGCGGTGAAAACGCTCGATAATCCCTGCAAATAAATTCCTTTCGGTTAATCGCGGTTGGTAATTATTAGCTCGTATATTTACTCGTGTATCGACTAACTGTTTAATTAACTCGTCTTTCGACGTACATAACGAATTCGAAGGAGCAGAAATTTCGCTACGTTGGTGTGCGTATATCGACGTTAATCCGTTGCATGAAAACCCATCGAATTCTTTTACGAATTTCCTTTCTTTTCCGGACGATCTTGACAAGCTCGTTGCAAATCGTATCAAAAGAGACGAATGAAATTTGACGAAGCAGGTGCTTCTTCGACCGCGCGCGCGCCACCGGTCGCCGTTTCTAATAATAAAACAGTGTAATCAACCGAGTATGATGTACCTAAACGTCGAATGTTCTAGTTTTCTACCAAAAATCAGCAAAAGCTGGCGACGCTAATTGTTAAACGGATCGATCGTCGCACAGATTCGTTGTGTTTATTATATAGTATATATACATATATATATACAGTGTGTAAAATATAATTCGATATTACCGGCATTGAAACGAGACGAACGAGAGATTTAGGCATCAGAATAATCCAATGCGTATACATAATATGTAATATACACGTTATACCAACCACACGAGAGAAGACTAAGAAATGCTGTAGACTGTTAACAAAAAAAGAAGAAGAGAAAAACAGAGTACGAATTGCCGTCATTGTTGAACTCATGGATTCTGTTGTTGATATCGTTTGAGCGTAGCCGGGTTGTTCGCAGGTTAATATGCCTATTGTATAGCGGCGTTATCGCCGATGGCAATTGCTTGTCCTATTGTTTTCCGATCGAAGACAACGCGAAATTCGGCGCGCTTGCTTGCTTGCTTGCTTGCTTGATTGTTAAACGGGTACGGCAAATTCTCCTTAATTCGCGCTCAGATTGCACAGAAAAATGGACAATTCGGGAATAGGAGATACGATTGATCGAGCCTCGCAGCTCGTTTTTATAGTCAACGATTATGTTCTTTTGAAATTTTCTATGCGGCGCGAAGAAATCGATGCAAGTTGCGATATCGATATAAACCACGAATAATATTATAATATATTACAATATAGTAATAAATATATTATATATTATAATTAATATATTATAATATAGCAATAACTATATTATATATT